ATGATCATGGGTGTGTGTATGTCTGTTCTTGTCATGGCTCTCACTTCTTTAGGATATATATACCTAGTAATGGAATGGCTGGGTCAAATGGTATTTCTGTTTCCAACTTTTTAAGGAATTTCCATACTGCTTTCCACAATGCTTGTACCATTTTACAGTCTCCCCCACAATGTGTGAGAGTCCCAGTCTCTCCACATCCTTGCCAGCATTTGTTATTTTGTGTCTAGAGATAAGTCCCTTGTCAGATATGTCATTGCTAAATATTTTTTCCCAGTCTGTAGGTTGTCTTTTGACTGTTTTGGAGAAGTCTTTGGAAGCACATAAAAATTTAATTTTTAGAAGGTCCCATTCATCTAGTTTCTCTTCTGCTGTTTGTGCATTTTGGGTTATGCTTATAAAGTCTGTTTATGCCATATATTAGGGCCCCTAAATTTGCCCCTAATTCTTCCTTGAGGAACTCTATCGTTTTAGGTTTCACATTTAAGTCTTTGATCCATCTGGAGTTAGTTTTTGTGCATGGTGTGAGGTACAGATCTTGTTTCACTTTTCTGCAAATGGATATCCAGTTTTGCCAGCACGATTTATTAAACAAACATTCTCTTCCCCAGTTGATAGATTTTGGCCTTCTGTCAAAGATCAGCTGACCATAGTGTTGATACTCTTCATGTGTGTATTGGCACATGTATATCTTCTTTGGAGAAATGTATTATTATCAAATCGAAGATGAGAAGAAACAGCTGCAAGCATCCATTAATCAGAATATGGAATGTACAAAGTATGAATTTAGGAGAATTTGAAGTTGTCAAAAATGAAACAGAATGCATAAAGATTGATATCCTAGGCATTAGTGAACTGAAATGGACAGGTTTTGGCTGTTTTGAATCAGATAATCATAAGATCTACTATGCCAGGAATGACAAATTGAAAAGGAATGGTGTGGCATTCATCATCACAAAGAGGGTATCAAAAGAGTGTGTCTTGAAGTACTGTGCTGTCAATGACAGCATAATATCCATACGCCTACAAGGAAGACCAGTTAATACTACTATTCAGATTTATGCGCCAATCACAAAAGCCAAAGATGAGGAAATTGAAGATTTTTATGAATTTTTTCTGCAGTCTAAATTCGACCAGACATGCAATCAAGTTGTGTTGATTATCACTGGTGATTGGAATGCAAAAGTTGGAAACAAAGATCACTGATAGTGGGAAAATATGGCCTTGGTGATAGAAATAACACTGGAGATCGCATGATAGGATTTTGCAAGACCAGCAATTTATTCATTGCAAATACCTTTTTCAGCAACACAAACAGTGGCTATACACGTGGACTTCACCAGATGGAGTACAGAGGAATCAGATCAACTACATCTGCAGAAAGAGGTGATAGAGAAGCTTAATATCTTCAGCCAAAACAAAGCCAAGAGCTGCTTGTGGAACAGACCGTTTGCTCATATGCAAGTTCAAGATGAAGCTGAAGACAGTTAAAAGAAGTCTACGAGTTGGGACCAGGTTTGCTGGTCCAATAGAGCCTGGTGGAACCACTGAGACTATGGCCCCTAGCTGCCCTTCAGGTCTAGAATTGAACCCACACCTGTGGTTTCCAGCCAAACAAAGTACAGGCATGTGAGTTGAACATTTACCTCAAGTAGACACACGCC